CAAATCGATTTCTAGAAACATAAATGTTATTACTTATGTTAAGCTACTCACATGAGAAGCAAAAGGTGTATTTATTATGGAGTGGTTTTCCTGGATGAAATTTAATCTATTTAAATAAGGGAAGTCTCAAAAATTTATTTGTAGCACTTAGAGACTAAATTATCAACAATTAAAAATCTTCCCAATTTTTTTCTTTACTGACTTCCAACAAGGACTGAGTTTATGCAGATGTCTGTGTCTGGTGCAACCTGAAACTGTCAGCTAATATTAAAAATGATCACCAATTCAAACTGAGTAAATGAAGCACTCCGGAGAGCGACTGGTTCTAGGATGACTCTGAAGCACAAACAGCAATTTCTGGGCCTTCCTGGTGACCTGGGGGTTAAGTCTCAGTTCTATCACGGCTGTGGCCTAAGTCTGATACAAAGCCAGGCTGCTGACCCACACACCTGCTGCAGACCTCTCCTGTCTCACCTGCTGCTCCCCTTTGTAGTGTATTTTAGTAGATCCCCTTGTTCTGCTCTCCATTCTGTCTCTGGTGAATCCTTTCACTGTCCCTGTACCACTGGCCTACACCCCATTTCTTGTATACATAAGTAAATAAAATTAAATCTTTTTTTTTTTTTTTAAAGAAAATCAATTTCTCTGATTAGCATGCTCTTGCTTTCACTTTGATTGTCAGTAAGATTTTGGCTCACAGACAGAATATACTGAGTGCCCCCTGCAGCCATCTGATAGATAAGAAAGTGTAAACATTACAAAGCACCAACAAATATTTTGTGCTGTGAAATCCAAAAAAGAATAGCATTCATTCATAATAAGTAATTCTTGCTGGACAAAGAAAATGAGGAGCACAAAGATTTTATGAGACACAGGGATAAGTTGATTGTTAGAGTAGCTATTAACGACAGTTAAGTATAAACAAAAGTAGTAATAATTAAAAAAACAACTCATTACTGGGTCATTTGGCAACCAGAACTAAGGAAAGACAGGCGAACCAATCTAAAAGTCCTCACAGAATACTGTGATGCTTTTAGGGGGAAGAGGCGGCAATGTATTTGTAAAGAACGTAACTTCTTTATGTGTAAGACATTCTTAATATAAGAAAAAAATATTATCTAAAAGGGACTCCAATTTATAACAATTCCCCACTAAAATCCATATTTAAAAAACTATTTCACTCGTGTCAAACACGCCATTTCTCAGTAACATTTTTGGTTACTCAAATACACAACTTATGAAAAAAAAAAGGTTAGTTATTGCTTTAAGGGAATAAGGGATACCTATATTTTCCAAATTGTAATAATAAGAAATAGTCATAGAAAAAATAAAAAGAATAAAAATGTCAGACTCAAGAGTGGTGCTCCTGTTGGGAGTCCTGAGGGCATATGACAGCTAATAGCAAGGATGAATGAGAAGTTTCATAATCAAAACAGCCTTATAGACAAAACAAACTCGAAGTCAAACCTCTGGAAGAGGCACTGTAAATTTTTAGCAATGTCTGCATTCTTCATTGCCATGCATGTTAAAAATGCAATGCTAAGTATGAATTTTAGATTGGGAAAAATTTATATTCAGTCTTTAAAAACATACTGTTCTTTGGTTCACTTTTAAGAAAAAAGAATATCCTATTCCACTTGACAAATTCAGATGCAAACATGTTCATTTTCCTTTGTCTTTCCCCTCTTACACTCATTTAATTTGACTCAGTGGACAGGAAACGCACCATATCCCCCTGCCTGGATGGGTGTTTTTGGAGAAGCACAAGCGTACAAACTAAAATCCTCTGTTTGGAAGCCAGCCCGATTCAAGGAGGGTTCTGATGCACTGCGGTGAATTTTTGGCAAAGAGCGGGCCAGCAGCTCAATAGAGGCGAGAATCTAGAAAAGGAATATGAAAGAAGAGAATGAAAACTGGGTGGATGGAACTTTAAAAGCCCCATCACATTTTACAAGAACACATCTGAAGTCTGATACTGTTTTCACTAGTGCCTGGATAAAACTAATGAAACTGACACTTTTCCTTAAGAGAGTTACCACACTGCTACAGCTTTTATCTCTGTAAACAGAATGGGAAAAGTAATCCTTGGTTAGTGTTGGTTTATAACAGATCATTTGAAGTACTAGGACAGTAAATAATAGTGATTTTAAACCAATTGTATTTCTCATAAGTCCACAAGTTCCTTTTGGGAAGAAAATGGCACATAAATTAGTAAAGCATTATACAAATTCACAAATATGACCATCAGAACAACTCACTTACTAAAGAACCTCAGTAAAAGAGGACATTTTTCGCACACAGTGAAAAGCGGGATCCCAGTACCAGAGTGCTCATGCCCAGGTATAAAGGCGACAGGCTACAAATGGATATCAATATGGCAAAATGTAGACATGCATCTTATCTTAAGATGCAAAGGAAAGATTATGACCCTTGAAGACACACTGTAACAGTGAATGTTCTGAATCATGAGAAATTTGTATAAAAGGCATGCACAATGCCTGGCATATGGTAAGTGCTCAGTGAAACTTGAGTAGTTTTTTATTATCACTATTACTATTTTTTTCTGACCTACAAAACTTATTATAAGCAATAACACACACATGAAAATTCAAATACAAGGAAGTAAAAAGTAGGATGCCTAAGGCTGTTAAGCCTTGTCTTGGAGAGGTAACCACTGTCAGAGTCTACACTTTCGTCTGGACTTTTCTTATGTTCAGACACACATACACGGAAACAGAGTCCCAGATTACACATTATTCAGCATTATTCCTCTACATCTTCCTCTACAAAGTAAGTATTCTTATATACATCTGAATCCTTGTGGAAGCAGATTCACAGCACAAATTTTTCTGTGGGGAATTACCAAGGACATTCATATCTTAAGTTTATGGGTCCCTTCAAGCCCCTTAATGCCAAATTAATTTACATTTCCAACAACACTGCTTAAAAAATTTAAGAGGAAGACTCTTCTTCACACCCTAATACTGTGCCAATGTTGGATGTTCCAGAGAGGCAAAATCAGAATGTATTTCACTGTTGTGTTACCTTGCATGTTACTAATCTCATTTTCTAATACTATGCAAAAAATGAAATGTTACTTATATTTGGAAATATGAAGATTTTACCCCTTTTAATGCCATTTTAAAGGTGGGCCTAATGATTTGTATTATTAATGCAAATCAACCCCATTAAATAGGTTGTGAAAACCAAGTATTGGGTCCTGCTCACGCTCATGAATAACCCTGCCTTCTACCTTTTTTTTTTTTTTTTAAAGATTTATTTATTTGTGCATATAGAACTGGGGTACAGGCCAGAGGCTCAGGGGTGGCAGGAGGCTTCACCAGAGACAGAGTGGGGGCAGAACAGGCAGATCGATGAAGCACACTGCTGAGGGGAGCAGCGGGCGGGCCAGGAGAGGTCTGCCGCGCCATGTTGTCACCTCCGGGGATCGAACTCATGTGGAAGTGGCTTTAGCTTCTCAGTACTGTGCTGCGCCACCAGGGAGGGCCATCTGCCTTCCACTTTTATGGGGGTTAAAAAAATAAAACAACTTTTCCTCAGAGAAACAGTAATATGTAAAACATGTATCTGCCCACGCATCCACTTGGCCTCCTCCTTCCTGCTCTCAGACAGACAGTCCCTGAGATCTGTTAGAACCATCAGCTCTGCTTTAATTCTTTAGCAGGCTCTAAGATTCATCCATGCCTTTAGTAGTCAGGACTCGATAAGCAGCTCAGCTGGGACTGGGTTCTCAAAGGCACTGGGGCCCAAAAAGGCCGAGTCCAGTCATCGGGAGCTGGGCAAACTACAGGAGTCAGCATTTCCCACTAGACAGCTGTATGGATTTATTGAGCCTTATCTCTAACAGTGCTGTCAAGAATTCCAAAGCATCACAAAACACTGAATTCATATCACAAATACCTACTTAGCTAAACTGTCTCAGTTTGTTCAGAGCCTTAGTTTCACTTTGTGAGGTTTATAAAAGGAAAAAAGCAATATACAATTTCCAAGAGTCAGTAAAAGTGCTGACAGCTGCCTTTTCTTTCTGGCCCAGAGGTAATGCCCCGTAAAAAGACCCAGTATTAATAGGCAGCTTGGAATCCGTTTATTTTGCCATCAGGAAGAATGAAAGCAGCAGTTCTCAGTGCGGCCTGTGAACCTCTAGAAGGTCAAGGGTCAAGACAATTTCTATAGCAACACTAGGATGTTATTTGCCTTTTTTACTGATGTTATTTACAAAATAAGTGGAGTTTTCAGAGACGACATGATAGAAAATATTGCCAGATAATGAATTCAGCTATTTTATTTTCAAAGAGCTTTGTAAAAAGTGTAAAATAATGCCACTCTTCACTGTTTAGGAAAATATTTTTCATAAAGATCTTATTTGACACATAATAATTTCTGTGTAAAAAAATGTATGAATAAACATTGTAAACAGTCTTAATTTCAAAAATGATGATAATTATATAAGCAAAAGTACTTGTTAGGGGTCCTCAACATTTCTTCAAAAGATTTATTTTTATTTATTTATTTATACATATAAAAACTGGGGTTTAGGCCAGAGGGATGGGGTATGAGTGGTTCACCAGAGACACAACAGGGAGCAACGGGCGACCATGTGGGTCAGCTCCCTGGCTGGGGACTGAACTCATGTGGCAGTGGCAAGATAGCTTGATAGTGGTGAGACTTAACCCCTTGCATCACCAGGGAGGCCCTTCAGCATTTAAGTGTATGAAAGGGTTTTTTAAAGCTTGAAGGGACAATTTTGAGACCTGCTAGATAAAAGCAGCCTTTTCTGAATATCTCATATTGGAACCCCAAGTTTCCCGTGGTACTGTCCAACCCTTAAAAAGTCACCCCTATGTGCTTACTGGTCTGGAGTCTGTGCATAGTCACAAGGAATCCAATTTAGGAAGCCTAAACTCCCCAGCAGGGAGCTGACCCCCATGGTCGCCCTCTGCTCCCTGTTCTGTCTCTGCTGAACCCCTCACACCCCCTCCCTCTGTGTGTCCTAGAAAGTGCTAAGAACATGCACCTAAACATCAGTCTGTCCTATAAGGAAACATAAAGCTTCTTCTTACTTGGGGAAAGAGTGGTCTCTCATCTCTCTTTTTTTTTAGGCACTCTGCCATTAATCTCTTCATGGCTTTTGGACAGTTACTCCGTACCTTACTGATATCCGGAGACAGGTATCCTCGTCCCACCATAAAAATTATCTGGAGAGACAAACAAACAAACAAACAAACAAAAAAAGAAACACACAAATCATACCACTTTATAGGTAAGTTACAGAAAGCATAAGCAGTGAAAATTCCACTTACGACCTGTATACTTTTCTGTGTGTCACTTTACTTCACTAAAACATAAAAAATTCAAAACTAGTATTTTCATTTCTATAATCCAAGAGTGGAGGGCTCCAAACTTAATGGCAGCAAGCTGACCCCCACGGCCCCTGGTGAGCACAGTGGTCTCCTAACTGCTCCCCAAGGGCCAGTCTCCTGCCCACTGACAGGATCATCACCCTTTCATACAAATCTGACTACACCTCTTTTCTACTCAATGAAAGACCTTACTGGGGACCTATTGTTAGTGGGCCTCAAATGGAATCTTTAATGTATGTGTACAGCAGGAACCAGAAAAGATAACTTTCTTAGCCATTGTTTTGGCTCTTTTCTTGTGGAAATGCTAGCGGGGCCCTTTTAGAACTGTGAGAATCGGTGCCTTCTCCAGAGGGAAGAAGATGAAGTCACTGGGAATGAACACTGTTTCATGAAGTAGAAATGCTTCTTTCCCTTGGGTATAGACTTAATAATTTTTCTAACCTCTTGATTTTCTACTTTTGGCTCTTTTTAAAGAGTGGGTGAAGACAGATTACTAGCAGCCTTTGGATTCAGGAGGAGAGAGGTTTTGATCTTAGCGGAAACTCTACCAGAGGCACAGACTAGACCTCAGGTGGAGGGAAACAGCAGGAGGCTTCTTCACAGGGCAGAGGTGAGGAACAGGAAAATCAAGTTTGCTATCCCACTTTATGCTTTTTCCTATTTGATGGTGTAACAAGTCTTGCATAACATAAGCTCATTTGCCAGATTCCCAAGAAGGTAGGGATGTAAGAATCACTCTTTCTGACTGTCCTTGTAAAAGCTGTCCTTCTGCCACTTTGCAAAAGGGAGACCTTTTCTTACATGGGGTCCAATGACAGCATGCACTGCTCTGGGGCTAAAGTTGCTGGGTGACCACATGCCTCACTTACATGAGCACATTTAGTCCCAAGGTGTAAGGGAGGAGATGCTAAAGGAAGAAAAATGAGAGCCAAATGGAATACTAAAGAGGGAGGGGAAAATGACAGAGTAATTTCTCGGATTCTAGCACCTGGGTAAGTAGAAGAATGCACAACGTGGGATGGTCATCCCTCAACGAACCACGAGTCCTATTTCAGGAAATAACTAAGACCTGATTTTATAACTGGAAGGCGTTCTTTAATCCTATTTTTATGATTAAAATAGAGAAATTAAAGAACTTTAATTAGCAAAATTAAAGAATAACTCTCCCCAGAGGTAAGGTGGTGGTGGTCCAAGGTCTGGCCATGATATCACACTAAGCAGACTACAAGATAGCGAAGCAGAATGAGATAATGGGTGGAGTTTGTCACTCTGGAGTTCCAAAAGCCTACATGAATTTAATGTGGCCAGGGTAGAAAAAAATAGGGCTACATAAGACTACGCTGTTATTTTTTGGACGGTATAGACAGGGATGAGGATGAGCAAAATACTTCCTCCTCAGAATTCTCTTCATAAAACAAAGACTGTCTGATATAACAGTCCTTCCATTTACCTTGTTCAAAAAACAAGCACCGAGAAGTCTTACTGATTCTAGAAGACTCTGACAGGAGGCGCTCACAGCCGAGCACGTGCTCTGATGGACAGGGGTGACAGCGTGCACACCGCCCAGGAGCAGCAGCGGCAGAGCTGTCTTCCAGCTGTGCCTCAGGCCAGGAAGCGAGGGGAATACCATCACCAGAACTCTGCTCTAGTCAGAAAAGCAGCAACTTCACTCCATTACAACACTTAAGGATACTTCAAGGCCTTGTTGTTATTGCCAAAAGTAAATAAAAGATATATAAAGCTGGTAACAAAGATCAAGACACGAATCCTTCATGCTAACTAAAGTTTAACACTTCTTTTCTACAATTGGAGTCTAGAGAAATAGTAAAATAAATCCTGAGAGCTGGTAAATATTTACCTGGTCCCTGTTGTTGATGTTTGAGTACGGTAACTGTCCAGTCATCAGTTCGTACAGAACAATCCCAAAAGCATATACATCTGACTGAAAGCTATATGGGTTTTTATCTTGCATTCTGATTACTTCTGGTGCCTGTTAGAACATAAAAAGAAAAATATTCTAGTTTATTCTTCACTTCAACTGAGAAGGGCTGGAAAACAAAACTATTATAATTTTTAGACCAATGTCAAATAATCCATCTAATATATGTAAATCAATGGTCAAAGAAACAAAACGAAGCAAAAAAAAAAAATCTCTGTAAACTCTGAAAGGTACGGTATTTGCTAATATTCTTTTTTTTGTGGATACCTCGGAGGTTTATTTTTTAAATTTTATAACAGTTTACTTTTACATCATTTTGTACATTTTTTTTTTCCATCTCAATTGTAATCCCCGCGGGTTTCCCTTCACCAAGTCACCTGTGTGCCATCACCATAATCCCGTGCACTTGCTAATATTCTTTTTTTTTTTTCCAAAAGATATAATTGGGAGTTTATTGTTTAGTTCAAAAGTCCATATTTTTTTTTCCATTTTTTTTAAAGTTTATTTTTACATCATTTTGCACATTTTTTTTT